ATTTTTTCCCTGTTATCTTTTAGGAATTCCATAGTTTTACGTTTTACATTTAGATTTGTGATCCATTTTGAGCTAATTTTTTACTCTCTATTGAGGGACCCCAAGTTGTCCCAAAGCCCTGAATGCCTCCCTGTGTATTCTGAGTTAATTTTTTGCAAGTCTATATCAAGATTTTTTTTTTAATGTACCTTGATGTCTAGTAGTTGTTTCAGCACCATTTGTTGGAAAGACTTGTTTTTTCCTCTGTTGTATTGCCTTTGAGCCTTTGTCAAAGAAAAGTTGACTATATTTATGTGGGTCTATTTCTAGACTCTCAATTCTGTTCCATTGGTCTATTTAGATATGAATTTTTTGAGGGCCACTGTCACCCCATTTCACAGGTGGTCATTTTAGGTTGGATGCTGACAGAAAGCAGGGGAAATTCTAGTAATACTTTGTCCCTAGGCTAAATCATGAAGTTGCCTTATTTTGTTTCATTTTATCATGGTATTAGAGTAACCTTGTCTAAGATTGGTATTTGGAGATTATTTATCTTCAACAGGAAAACAAAATATCCTGCCTGTGAGTATTGGACCAGCTTCTAATAATATCGAGGTCTATGTGTGAATATCAGATCAGTTCTATTCATCAGACTGCCCCTTCCCCTTAAAAGATAAATTAGATATTTTGTTGCAGTTAAACTCACACTTGTGAAACAGTTCACCTCAGATTGGGACTTGAACCCACGTGCCAGAGCTTGAACTCAAATGCTAAGACTTGAACTTGGCCAAAATCCAGTTTGGGACTTAAACTCATGAGGCTGGAACTTCAGCCTGGCCAAAACCCATGGTCTTCCAACTGAGATCACACACCTGATTTCTGGACTTAATAAAGGTCAGATTTTTTTGTATCTCAGTGCAAAAGGAACAGCAAGAAGCAAACTGATAGGCAAAAAGTAGATTTATTAATATAGGATGCTTGTAAGAGATGTAAGTGGATAGGTGAGGGAGCCCTGCACTGAGGATTAAATGGGCTATAATTTTATTGTCAAAGGAAAGTGGGGGAGGGGAAAGGACTGCCTTCTATGAGTTGATTTCAGGCTTACATCACTAGCTCCTCTTTGTATCAAGCACCAGAATGTCTGACCCTGTGTGGTCAAACTAGAATTGTCATGTGTGCATGTGTGCTCAGTCATGCCTGACTCTTTGAGATCCCATAGACTGTAGCCCACCAGACTCCCCTGTCCATGGAATTTTCCAAGTAAGAATAGTGGAGTGGGTTGCCATTTTCTACTTCAGAGGATCTTCCCAGCATTGGGTTTGAACCTGCGAGTCCTACTTTGGCAGGCAGAGTTTTGACCACTGGTGCCACATTGTCATAGCACTTATTCAGATCACTAGAAGGATGGTGACATTTTTCTTTCATCTAATGACCTGGGACATATCTTGTGCTTTTATAAGTGGCATTATAGTTAAAGAAGGCTGCTTTGTTCCACCACGGTCTAATAGCTTTTTGAGCATCATTAACTTCCACTGGTCTCTCAAAGTTCCCTAGGTTTCCCTATTTATCTATAATCCACTACTGGGACTTCTGCATAACTATCCTATCCTGTTTAACTATCCTATTCTGTCCCTATCACTTGCTTTAAAGTATCAGAAGAGCAGTTTTTGCTCTGTTTCATATAAATATTTGTGGTAACTCATTGTTTTCCCTTATGATATACCTTTCTGTGTGGACAGGGTATCCACTACACAAACCCTATCTGATCTCACAGTGGAAACAAGAGGAGGACCTAGAGACAGTGGAGAAAAGACCTATCCAGGGGGAGCATCAGGAAGGCAAGAATACTTGATGTGGTTGGGGGATATTACATTTGGAAAAAATAACATAAAATCAAAATGAAGCTTTGTTTTGTCTGAGGAAGCTGAGCTTCCACAGACACCTTAGATTACTATTTTATTTGTTTTTAAAATTTTTATTTTTTACTATGCTGGATCTTTATTGCTTTGCATGGGCTTTTCTCTAGTTGCAGAGTATGGAGACTGCCCTCTAATTGCAGTGCTTGGGCTTAGTATTTGCTGCTTGTGGGCTCGAGGTTGTGGGCTTAGTAGTTATGGCACACTAGCTTAGTTGCTCTGTGGCATGTGGAATCTTCCCAGATCAGGGATTGAAAAGGTGTCCCCTGCGTTGGCAAGTGGATTCTTATCCACTGTTCCACCAGGGAAGTCCTTGATTACTATTTTGACTTTTCTTTAGTCCTCTCACCTGTTCCTTGTTCTTGGGAAAGACCACATTTCCTCTTTGTAATGTAGTATTTGGTCTTGTGTGTTTTATTCCATTTCTTTTTGTTTTGTTCTCCTAGTAGTATCTTATTTATGCTACTGTCAGTCTCCATCTTCATGGGATTATTTCCTAGTCACTTTACTATTTTGACCATGTGCTTATTAACCAAAGTCCTGAACCAGCCATACTGCCAAAGTCCTTTGCTTATGGGTGCCTTTGCTAATTTATTTCAGGTTTCAAGATTCAACTTAAAGTTAATGAATCAGTCGTTCCACAAGATACTTGTGGAGAAAAAATATCCAATGAACTGGATGTAGTGGAATTCAAAAGGAGTGATTCCTCATTGTCCATTTTACATAAAATCTGGGAATACCATGATATTGATTATCAGAACAAAAACCACGAGAGACGTTTGAGGTAAGTGCCATTCATATAAGAGAAAAGTAGTGTCTCAGGAAAGAATCTTAAAATATCACAGAATTAAAAAAAGAAAAATCTAAAACTTGGTCAAAAATTGTAATTTCATAAAGACTTTTCATAAGATATTTTTTTCACAAGTGAGACTTGAGCCCTTCCATGTTTGACACATAAATCATTGAGCAACCATCAGAAAAATCTCATAAGTCAAAAACTCAGTCATAATATTGTGTCTTAGAGCACTTGAGTACTTTCATCTTATCATTGGACAGGGCAGAAAAACACACATAGTCACTTAAAATGGTAAAAATTTACTTGCCACTAATAATGTGCTTTTTATTTTTGAAAGAAGTCATGGGGTTGAGAACATCTACAAACATAATGAAGAAAATCAATGTGGACAAACCTTCAGCCAAATTTCACACCTTAATATACTCAAGAGAACTACTGAAGTAAGAGCGTATGAGTGCCATGCGTGTAAAAAGGCCTTCATAGATCATTTATCCCTGAAGAATCACATTAGGTCTCACACTGGTAGCAAACCCTATCAGTGTAAGGAATGTGGGAAAGCTTTCCATTTTTTTGCTTGTTTTAAGAAGCATATGAAAACTCCCACTGAAGAGAAACCCTACGAATGTAAGGAATGTACCAAAGCCTTCAGTTGTTCTTCCTTCTTTCGGGCACATATGAAGATTCATGCAGGAAAGACAAGTTGTGAATGCAGGGAATGTGGGAAAACCTTTAGCTGTTCTTCATCCCTCACAGAACACAAAAGAATTCACAGTGGAGATAAGCCTTATGAATGTAAGGAGTGTGGGAAAGCCTTTAGCTGTTCCTCCTCACTCTCCAAACACAAAAGAATTCACAGTGGAGATAAGCCATATGAGTGTAAGGAGTGTGGGAAGGCCTTCAGTTCCTCCTCTCACCTTATCATACATATAAGAATCCATACTGGAGAAAAGCCTTATGAATGTAAAGAGTGTGGGAAAGCCTTCAGTGAGTCCTCAAAGCTCACTGTACACGTTAGAACACATACAGGTGAGAAACCCTATAAATGTAAGGAATGTGGGAAAGCCTACAATTGTCCTTCCTCCTTGAGCATCCATATGAGAAAACATACAGGGGAAAAACCCTATGAATGCCTTGAATGTGGGAAAGCCTTCTATCTTCCCACTTCCCTGAATACACATGTGAAAAATCAGAGTAGAGAGAAACCCTATGAATGTAAAGAATGTGGAAAAGCCTTCAGTTGCCCCTCGTCCTTTCGAGCACATGTGAGAGATCACACTGGAAAGGTGCAGTATGAATGTAAGGAATGTGGGAAAGCCTTCAGTCGTTCCTCATCCCTCACTGAACACTTAAGAACTCACAGCGGAGAAAAGCCTTATGAATGTAAGGAATGTGGGAAAGCCTTCATCAGTTCATCCCACCTGACGGTACATATAAGAACTCACACTGGAGAGAAACCTTATGAATGTAAGAAATGTGGAAAAGCCTTCATTTACCCCTCAGCCCTTAGGATCCACATGAGAACACACACTGGGGAGAAACCCTATGAATGTAAGGAATGTGGGAAAGCCTTTCGCCATTCTTCATACCTGACTGTCCATACAAGGATGCACACTGGAGAGAAACCCTTTGAATGTCTGGAATGTGGGAAAGCTTTCAGTTGTCCTTCATCCTTTCGAAGACATGTAAGAAGCCATACTGGTGAGAAGCCCTATGAATGTAAGGAATGTGGGAAAGCCTTTGTTTGTCCTGCTTACTTTCGAAGACATGTGAAAACTCACACTAGAGAAAATTTATAAAGTAAGGAATGAGGGAATGTCTTTTTTCAAAGCTTAAGCAGCACATGAGATCTTACACTGTGGAGACTCACTATGAATGTAAGAAATTGTCACTCATCTATTGGAAAAACCCATAACTGAGAGAAACTCTGTGTTTGTAAATCATGTGGTAATACCTTCATGACCATCACTTATCGTGTTCTAAGAAAATTCATATTCGAAGCAAAGATCAATGCCTCATCCTTAAAGTGGGCTACTGCTGGCTCATTGATTTCCAGTTTTAATTTTCTGATATGAATGTTTAAGATGGTAAATTTCCTCTAATACCTTTCGGCTCTAGCCACATATGTTTTGTTATGAGGTACTTTTATTTTGGTTCAGATGTAAATGTTATTTCTATTACAGAGTTTTCTGGACCCATTGGGCATTTAAAGTATATTTTTTTATATGTAGGCATGAGTGATCTTTTATTACTATTATTAGTTACTGATTAATTCTCATTGTTCTTTAAGTGTGCAGTCATTGTGGTATCGACATTCCAGTATTTGTAGTTTCTTTTGTAAATGGTAATTTCATTTTGATCTAGTATGGCAGAAATTGGAAATTGTCTACCCACTATTTCTCCCCACCTCTTTTTTTTTTTTTACAAAAGCATTATTAGTTTTTTACCATTAAAAGCTTTCCCTGTCTAATAAGTAATCCAGTGGAAATCAATAAGTGCAAAAGCCTTGATAGAAGAGTCTCATCTGTTATGGTATTTTTGTATTTTTTTCTTTATCCTTGTTTATGACTGGGAATTGGACCCAATGTTTTGAACTTTTCTAAAAGAGACCTTGCAACAGGAAAGCTACAAGTAAAGTTAGTTGGGCTGGTTTATGTTGTGGTACTTTGGATGTGGCTGGGACTGCATTTCCCAGAGTCAGTTCTTTATCTAGTTCCAGGTTTGAGTTGTCTAAAATAAGAGTTTGTGTGAGAATTGGAAGGCAGAGGGAAGAAACCATTATTCTGAGTTTGTGGGGCCAACGAGACAGGGAGACCGATGCATGGGGGCCTTTTTATTTTTCTGGAGTTGAGCTGGAGGAGTTGCTTGTATATTTTTGAGATTAATCCTTTGTTGCTTCGTTTGCTATTATTTTCTCCCACTCTGAGGGCTGTCTTTTCACCTTGCTTAGCACATGAGATCTTACACTGTGGAGACACACTATGAATGTAAGAAATTGTCACTCATCTTTTGGAAAAACCCATAACTGAGAGAAACTCTGTGTTTGTAAATCATGTGGTAATACCTCCATGACCATCACTTATTGTGTTCTAAGAAAATTCATACTCGAAGCAAAGATCAATGCCTCATTCTTAAAGTGGGCTACTGCTGGCTCATTGATTTCCTGTTTTAATTTTCTGATATGAATGTTTAAGGTGGTAAATTTCCTCTAATACCTTTCAGCATTAGCCACATATGTTTTATTATGAGGTACTTTTATTTTGGTTCAGATGTAAATGTTATTTCTATTACAGAGTTTTCTGGACCCATTGGGCATTTAAAGTATATTTTTTATATGTAGGCGTGAGTGATCTTTTATTACTATTATTAGTTACTGATTAATTCTCATTGTTGTTTAAGTGTACAGTCATTGTGGTATCGACATTCCAGTATTTGTAGTTTCTTTTGTAAATGGTAATTTCATTTTGATCTAGTATGGCAGAAACTGGAAATTGTCTACCCACTATTTCTCCCCGTCTCTCTCTTTTTTTTTTTTTTACAAAAACATTATTAGTTTTTTACCATTAAAAGCTTTCCTTGTCTAATAAGTAATCCAGTGGAAATCAATAAGTGCAAAAGCCTTGATAGAAGAGTCTCATTTGTTATGGTATTTTTGTATTTTTTTCTTTATCCTTATGACTGGGATAAATGTTTTGTTCAATGTTTTGAACTTTTATAAAAGAGACCGTGCAACAGGAAAGCTACAAGTAAAGTTGGTTGGGCTGGTTTATGTTGTGGTACTTTGGACGTGGCTGGGACTGCATTTCCCAGAGTCAGTTCTTTATCTAGTTCCAGGTTTGAGTTGTCTAAGGTAAGAGTTTGTGTGAGAATTGGAAGGCAGAGGGAAGAAACCATTATTCTGAGTTTGTGGGGCCAACGAGACAGGGAGACCGATGCATGGGGGCCTGGCCTTTTCCCTAATTATTGGACTCACTGATCTGTACTGGCTCAAAGAAGAACACAAAATGCTTGACTTTCATTGTCTCAGAGGCAGCCACTCCATAGACACCTCCATAAATTTCTCCATCATGGTCATACACAGCTTGGATTTTTCTGGTAAGTTCTTGCATTGTAATTTTGCTGATATTACAGCCCCTCTGGCACATCTGTTGACTGCATAGAGTTGGCTCCAGTTTGGATCAGGGTTGTTGTCATCTACATGGTCGAAAGTGTGCTAATCTTAAGTGTACAGCTTGATGAAATTTTACACTGAATACTGTGACAAACAGAACTTTCCCAGGATTTCAGAAAGTTCATTCATCTGCTTTCTCAATAATTTCTCTGGGGACTTTACTGGTGGTCCAGTGGCTAAGAATCTGCCTGCCAGTGCAGGGGGCTGGGGTTTGATTCCTGATCAGGGAACTAGATCTCACATGCCACATCTAAAGATCCTGCATACTGAAACTAAGACTTAGTGCAGCCAAATAAATAAATAAAAATAAATAAATATTAAAAAATGTTGCTCCACAATTTTGGCTTTGATTATAATTTATTAAGTTTGCTTGTTGATCTTCATGTAAATGTTAAGATACAATATGTATAGTTACATGTTTGGCTTTTTTCAATATAATGTCTAATTTGCCTCTTAATTTCTATTTTTGCAGACTATGAACTTATGTCTCTTGTTACGTGCTTTGAATATAAGAATGAAATTACTGAATCATAGGATAGACTTTATGTTTAGGTAGGTATTCCAGTTTTTCAAAAGCAATTCTACTTATAATCATAATCCTAAAAGCAATGAATGAAGGTCCTAACTGTTCCACATGCCTGATTAGCACTTTCTAATTTTAGCTGTTCAACACAGAATGTACTATTATCTTGTTTCTGGTTTTAATTTGCATTTACCTGATATGTAACAATGGTGAATACTTTTTTATATGCTTATTGATTATTTGGATACCTTTTTTTTTTGTTTTTATTTTTATTTTTTTGGCTGTGTGACTTGCGGGTTCTTAGTTCCCTGACCAGAGATTGAACCTGGGCCATGATAGTGAAAACCTGGAATCCTAACCACTAGGCAATCAGGCAGTTCCCTGGGTATCTTCTTTCTAGGGGATACCTGTTGAAGCATTTCACCCATTTTTGGTTCCTTTTCTATTTGAAAGGTTTCCTACGGTTGTGTGTGTGTGCTCAGTTGATCTGTCATGTCCAACTCTTTGCAACCCCAGGGACTGTAGCCCTCTAGTCCCCTCTGTCCATGGAATTCTCCAGACAAGAATACTGGAGTGGGTAGCTGTTCCCTTCTCCAGGGGATCTTACTGACCAGAGATAAACCCCAGGTCTCCAGCCTTGCGGGTGAATTCTTTGCTGTCTGAGCTACCAGGGAAGTCAGGTAAGCCCTGACTATAGTTAGATCTTGAGAATTTATTCATCTTCTATCTGGAAGTTTGCATCCTTTGATCAGTATCTCCCCATTTTCCCCACCCCTAGTCCCTGGAGAAACTGGTTGCATGAAATCAAAATTAAATTGTGTAGAGTCCACAGAGATAAGAAAAGAGATCTATACCTGTGCCACTGAATGTAGAAGCATGATACATAGCTGAGATCTAAAAATATAGAAAATTGTAATTTTTATTGGCCCCATTTTAAAACTAAGAAACTGACATTTCAATAGGCTGGGTAACAAAAGTTTTTAGAAACAGTAGGTATTAATAGTTTCAGCTACAATTCATACTTAGGATTACAAGTTGATTCAAAAGAAGAAGTGTGGACTTCACTTTCATGAGAGGACTATAAAAGAATTTGGGAGCCATGTCTTAAAACTGTCGCTTTTGTGTATGATCAGTCACTCAGTCATGTCTAACTCTTTGTGACCCCATGGACTGTAGCCCACCAGGCTCCTCTGTCCATGGGATTTCCCAGGCAAGAATACTGAAGTGGGTTGCCATTTCCTTCTTCAGGGGATCTTCTGGCCCAGGGATTGAACCCACATCTCCTGTGTCTCCTGCATTGGCAGGAAGAGTCTTTTGCATTACACCACCTGGGAAGCCCTTCCTCTGGTTATTCTTTTAAAATGTATGTATATGTCTCTATCTAGTTACATACATATACATAAAACATCTATTATATATATGTAAATTATGTATACTATATATACCTCTATTGCAGATAGTTTTTCCCAATCTCTGGCTTGTCTCCATTCTTTTCATTTTTGTAAACTATAAAGAGAATTAAATAGTTTGATTACAGGAAAATCCTAGGGTATAACTAATTGCAGAGATGGCTGGATCCTGGAGCTAAAAAGATGTTAGCTGGATGAATTCTGTCTCCATTCCTTGACTGTGTATCTTTCTGCATTAATTATTCTTCCAGGTGGGCTCTTTCTCTCCACAGTGGCCCTCAGAAGATCCAAGCTGCTTTCTTTCCAGGTTGACGTGTCAGGGAGAAGAGAGTGGTTATCATTGTGACCGATTCCAATATGCCTGTTACAGTTCAATCTGATTGGCCTACTTGCCAACTGTTATCAATTCATTGTGGCCAGAGGAGTATGATTCTTTGGTTGGTTTAGGACTGGCTTCTCATTGAATCTTGTTGTTCAGTTTTTAAGTTGTCAGAATCTTTGTGACCCAATGGACTGAAGCACACCAGGCTTCCCTGTCCTTCATTATCTCCCAGAGTTTGCTCAAACTCATGTCCATTGAGTTGGTGATGCCATCCAACCATCTCATTCTCTGTCACCCCCTTCTACTACTGCCCTCAATCTTTCCCATCATCAGGGTGTTTTCCAATCAATTGGCTCTCTGCATCAGGTGGTCAAAGTATTGGAGCTTCAGTTTCAGTAACGGTCCTTCCAATGAATATTCAGGGTTGATTTTATGATGTATATGGTGAAGGGAGAAGGCAGCAGGGGCAGACAGGGTATAGTAATAGATGTAATAATAACATTAGCCAACACAATATGCTTACTCTGATCTTAGCAGTGGGAGGGAACTATGAAGGCTGGGAACTCTCAGCCAGCCATAGTTCAAGAAATCTTTCAGAAAGGTTTGATTATGTTACCATCTCTTTTGATTGCTGAAGATGATTTCTCAGTCTTTACATAATTTTGCAATATTTTTAGATACTTGGTAGCAAGAGCCTTCCAACTTTTTTATTCATCAAGATTGTCATGCCTTCTCTATTTCCCACTTGATTCTATATTAATTTTAGGATCTCCTTAGCAATTTTCACAAATCTTTTGGGACTCTGCTTGGAATTGCATTGGCTTTATAGAATAACGTGATTAAAATTAATGTCTTTACAACACTAAGTCTTTTAACTGATGAGCCTAGTATAATTGTTCATTTATCTAGGTCATTTTTAATTCCTCTTAACTTTTTTATTTTTGTAGTTTCTATTGTAGAGGTCTTGAATAACTTTATTTCTAGGTTTGTGGTATGTTTTCCTTTGTAAATATTTTTATTTAATTTTTGATTTTGGGGGCTAGCATATAGAATTGCAATTTCCTTTTGTACATTGATCTTTTATCCATGACATTTATAAATTATTTATTCAAATGATTTATGAGTTATTTTGGATTTTTGTTGTATATAATCTTGTCAACACCAATAAAAGAAAGTCTTACTTGATTTCTAAATTTTACCCTTTCTTTTTCTTGCCTCATTGCTTTATAGTAACAAATAGAAATGATGAAAGTGAACATCTTTGCATTCTTCCTGATTTTAGGGGAAAATGTTCCATATTTTTCCATTAAGTATAATAATAGTTATGTTTTTCACAGATAGCTTTTAAAAATGAAAGGAATTCTGTTCTACTATCTGTTCCTCAATTGTGAAG